GAGCTTGCGTTTGGATATACCTGGTATTAACCGATCGCCCTCTAGTGTCCGATCATCCTATTAGCTCGATTCAAACAAATTAGAGCACAATAATTTTTTTAATTGTTTGTTTTCACTAATTTATATATTTGATATGCGACACATCACTGCTAAGTTCCTCATGACCACAAAATTTTTTAATTCAGTTCAACGGCGCGCCAAAGCAATGATCTAAACGTATCGCATGTCAGAAAACGAATCACGACGTTTTATAAATGGTATACAAATCCTGTCGAATACAAGTGAAGCCAAACATGTTACTTGACGTGGGAGTCTTTAATAATAGTACTAGTTATAGGTGCGCGGTCGTGAAAGTCAAATTTTTCATTTTTGATTTATTACTAAACGAATCTTGATGCGATACAACTTGCGCAAATTTATCTTTATACGAAAATAAGTTTACGTTATGATTCAACATTTTGTAAGTGGACGGATTTGATAGAATGTCAAGTGTCTCACCTCATCTTATTATCAATGAAAAACTAATTAAAAATGAATGCAGTTAAATCTTTCTATTTTGCATCGCTCAATTTTATTGGGATAAAGTATATGAAGAATCATCGAGCGATTTAGTATTAGTAATTTTACCTCTTGCTAAATCGAGCTTACAAATCATGTAGAATCTTTCTTTTGTCAAAATTTTCATTCGATGGAACTTTTTTTAAATACAATTTTATACTTCATGATATATTTTATTTTATTTATTTTATTTCCATCAATATAATTCTTATTTTATAAAATATGTAATGATAATCGTGGAAACTGACTTAAACACTTTAAAGTTTTCAAAGAAGAAGTACACATGAAAAACCTCGACGTCCTTGCCTAGAAAATAATTACAGAGATTTAAAAATGGGTTAAAAAACTATTATTTTGTCTAAAAAAAGATGTAAATACCTTTTTGAATGATATCACATCTTTTATTGGGTTTCTTCTTCGACAAAGATTTCTGCTGCCAGGCATATTCCCAGCAAGTCTTCGTTACTCAGCAAATCGATGATTTTTTCACAGCAAAGAATCGGTAGCTGATATCGCGTCAACACCAGGAAAAATTCCATCGTCCACCGCCGACGAAATCCTCTCGAAATCATCTCAGAAAGTTGAGCCATACACATCCCACGATAAGAACTGCGTTGTATCCTAATTTTTGCAGAACGCGTTAACTCCAAGAAGTCTACATTTGAGAGTAATTTTTCCGCGTTTTTGGGTTGTATCCAAAACAAGTCGTAAAGCGACAGCCTGGGATGAATCATCCATTGTTTTGCTATGTTTATTAACTCTTTGTTGCCAAGCCAATATGTAAGATCCGCCGACTTTTCAAATAATCTGTACTTGGCGAATACTTTTATGATTGTCAGTGCGTTACGTAGATCGAGTTTGTATCCTCTTTTCTCTAGACGTTCGATGACAACCAGCACCTTTGACACTCGTTCCAATTCACACGCACCCCCATCCCACTCCCATAACAGTCCAAAACACTCGTCGAAGAAACTTTCGCTAGTAAATTCTAAACTGGACAAATCCGCACCACGATCCAAGAGCATATCGACCACGTCCGGCCAGAGATTTTCCACGGCTAATTGCAGCGGTGTTAGGCCCTTTTCGTCCCGGGCGTCGACCAGAACCTGGCGATTTTGATCGTCATTTATCTCGAAGCATGTCTTTAAGAGTTCCACCACTGAATCCTCGTGTCTATTTTTACAAATATAGTGCAGAGGTGTCGATCCTTCCTCATCGGCCAAATTAGGATCAGCGCCGTTTTTCAGTAGCAATGCAGCTGTCTTCTTGTTGCCACGACTCAGAGCCAATTGCAATGGTGTACGGCCCCTCTTGTCCCGGGCATCTACCTGCACCTTCTGATTTTTTTCGGCGCAGATCTCGAAAAATACTTTCAAGAATGCAGCCCCTTTGAAATCGTGGCATAACCCGCAAATTAAATGAAGAAGTTTCTTTCCATCCTCGTTGGCCAGATTTGCGTCATTGATCTCGAAGAACAGCTTCAAGAAAGTCGCCCAATCATCATCGTTGCCTTTCCTACAAATTATAAGCAGAGGAGTCGATCCATCCTTCATTGGTAAATCTGAATTGGCACCTCTTCTGAGCAGTAATTCGGCCACCTCCGTGTTCTTGTGCTTCAGAGCCAAGTGCAGCGCTGTCCGGCCGAAAAAGTCTTGGGTGTTGACTTTTACTTGCTGATTAAGTTCGTCGTTGATGTCGAAGAATATCTTCAAGAATGTCATCGATTTTTTTTTGTTTCTCCAGTCGCAAATTATGTGAAGAGGAGCCAGTAATCCACTTTTTTTAACAGAATTCGGATCCGAACCGTTTCTCAGTAGTAATTCGGTCGCCTTCTTGTTGCCTCCGGTCACAGCCAAGTGCAGCAGTGTCTGACCCTCTTCGTCTCGAAGCCCGACAAGCCAATTAATTTCTCTGGGCTGAAATATGTCTCGGAGATTTGGCAGTTGTCCCTCACAATTATTAATCAAGAAAAAGAAACGGTGCAGAAGTTGAGGTCTTTCCCTTTTTTTATTCTTCCAATCGATCTCCTCTCGAAAAGTTTTCAACTTTTTCAAACAGCTTTGGTCGACTTGAGCCATTGCTCAACACAATCACACAAACACAATTGCTAATAACTAATCAATTTTATACTTTGCACGAGAATCACTGTCCGTAATCGATACGTTCTTTCTTTGTTTTTCACGCTGCTGCGTTGTAACGTGTAAAGAAGTAAAATCGACTCAACGACTCGACATGCGGCGCCGGGCGCGTGGGATTGCCAAATGCCGACTGCGGTGGCCGGCAGGCGTCAGCTCGCGCGTCGTAACCGCCACATTCGCGAATCGAGTCGAGTCGCGCGGCCAATACAAGAAATATAGTTTCAGTTTTACAAGAGATACGCACAAAGAAACACTATAACTTGATCTACAGTAAATATGGCTGTTATGATAGTTAATTTTTGCTTTTTTTTATTGATCAATCATCAAGTCAAGTTTGGAATATCTAGGCCCGTAGGATGCGCGGCAAATCTGCTTCTGGTAAATTCGAGGAAATTTCTCCCGGCATCGCGCGGCTCGGAAACTAAACGGGCACAATTTTTGACAACATTTTTGTTTACCCTTGCCAAGGTAATATTTCAACGCCTTTCTTTAATTTTGATGTTTTATTGGATAATTTTTCTCAATTAATGAGAACAAATTTTCTTTTGCTTTCAGAGGCCATGCGTTGCGATAAAATTATTTGAAACTGTTTCAAAATGCCGAAGTGCCTCGACGAAATCTCCAATCTTACATTATAGCCACGAGGTACGAACTTGCGTTTGGACGTATCTGCTATTAACGGATCGCCCTCTAGTGTCCGAACACCCTATAAGTTTTCATTCAAATAGAGTTAAGAATTAAATGGTTTCCATGATTGTTTACTTCTACCGATTTGTAGATTTTTCCTCGAATTTTCGAAAACTGAATTACATCATCAGCAACTGCATCGAAAGTAAATTTTTGTCTTTGTTTTATGCGAGTTAATGTGAAATTATAAATTTTTAAACTATTAGGTATTAGTTGATAAATAAATTCGCGAAAATTTACCCTATTCATTAAAAATAATATCATTTGGTGGCCGCGTGCTCACGCATCGATCATCATCATATTATATTATAACAAGAGCATATCGTATAAGGTATACAAACACAAGTTGCTGCTGCTGCTCGCGCCCATCACTATGGTCTCTCTCTTTCTCTCGCGCAGTTCTGCCTGCGAAATATACGTATACACGCATGCAGGCAGCATCTACACAATACCATATAATATAACATTAGGAGCGCCGCGTGCTAAAGCGAGACCGCCAGAGTGTTCTAGGTGCGTGCGTGCATATATAATAGCGTGTGTGCAGGCACACACCGCCGCCGCCGTCGCCGCGCGTGCGATCCAAGCCGAGCCGAGCCGAGCGACGCATAGAGTACAGTAGTGGAATACTAGTGTTTCGCGAGCGAGCGAAAGAGAGGGATATTATATATATAATTCGCAGCAGCAGCAGCAGCGAACTCTCGGAGAATAATACATGTGTGTAACGCGCACGCATATATACGTGCATCAATCGTGTGTCTGTGCGTTCAAATGCGTGTATATACGTACGTAAACGTTAACGTATTATACACACAACGACAAGTATAGCATAGGAGAAGTAATAAAAAGGGAAAAAAGAGCGGAGAAGATAGCAGCAGCAGCAGTAGCAACAGTAGCAGCAGCAACAGCCAAGCACAGTGCGAACCGAAGACAGCAGCAGCAGCAGCTGCTTCTCGCTACTTTTGCCCATGATAAATTGAAAAAAAAAGCCCAGTAGACGACAGTTTACTCATCTCGTGCATTATAAAATACACTTGTGTGTCTCTCTCTCTCTCTCTCTCTAGGCGCGTAAAAGTGTATGTGTGCTTTGGTGTATACATTACATATACCGTGTGCTGTGCTCTGCCCGTGTGCGTGTGTGTGTGTTTGTGTTTTATCCGTGCGGGGCTGGCTACACATGCATCTAATAACATTGGCCCATCGTCGCGAGCGCGGGTCTCTCTCTCTTTCGCTGCTGAATAAGGAGGCACCATAAAATACAATACAAGTGATATTGTTGTGTGCATCGACGTTTTTAGAGAAGAAAATAAAACACAAGGAATCGATTCAATTTTCGTGCATCGTCGTTGTTGTTTTTTTCGTCTGCGTGTGTGTGTGATTCAAGCCCAATTATTTTGGAGGAAAAGAAAAAACAAAAAAGGAGCTGTTTCGCGTTTTTATACGTATAGAGAGATGCAGCAAGCCACAGCATAATAATATATAAATACAAGACAATTGTCGTTTACTATTATTATTTTTTGCGTGGCTCTCTTATCTATCTCTCTCCCTTACGATATAAACCATAATATATAATCGTGAGTGCAAGAAAGAAAGAGAGCAGCAGAGCGTCGTCGTCGTCGTCGCATTCGTCATCATTTTTTTTAATATTATTATAAAACACATCGAGTGCACGCGCGTCGTCGTCGTCGCCGCCGTTATAATAGACCTCACCGAAGCTCACGGTTGTATAGTACGACGAGGAGGAGGAGGAGGAGGAGAGGAGAGGAGGACAGAGAACGAAATTAAAAAAGAAGACAGAAGGAAGGATAAAAAAGAAATTCAGTGATTCGCATTGTTTCATAGGGGCGAGAGAGAGATCTCGCTCGGTTCTCAACTCGGCTCGTCTCGCTCGTCGTCGTCGTCGCCAATTTATAATAGGAGTCGACGGGATCGTCAGTCAGTCAGCAGTAGCAGCAGCAATAGAAGTATATATCTGCTGCACTCGCATACACAGACGGACATAGAGAGACGTATATTATACATATACAACAAACACGTACTACACCTTTTCACGCACCACAGTGGTATCCCAATGTTGTCTGGCAATGGTGTGTAAGGAGAACGTGGTATCATGGTTTGGAAATCTGTCCAGGTAAGCAGCTCCTCTGCCAATTGTCAAAAGCGTTTATTTATTTTTCTTTTTTCGATACGTCAAAAAAAAAAGCCGTCTGTCTTCGGTCCCGAAAGAGACGGAGGCCCCCGTGCGTGTATATGTGTATTATAGCCTCCTCTTATACACACGTGCAGTGCGTTTGTTCCTCCTTCTCTCTCTTTTTCTTCGTCGTCGCCGTCGCGTTATATACTCAGCTCCATTTCACTCATTTATAGACTTGTGTCAATGTCTGCCATACGATACTTTTATCTCTCTCTCTCTCTCGCGAGAAGATGATGTATTAACCTCACGCACGCGTGTGTGCGTACTTATATCGTAGCACAAATATACAACGCGCTGCACAACTCTTTACCTATTAGGCGTGCTTATGTAGCGGAGCTGTGCACCGCTGCGGCCTTTTACATAAACACCACACATGCAAATGAGCCTGTGCCGTGTCTGACATATGCATTGGACAATTCTTTTTTTTTTTATCGGGAAAGCCAGCGCAAAAAGAGAGACGAGACAGACTTTGCACACACATAGACGTGTACATACACGCGCATAGCGCAAAATGTCGCCGGGGTATAAAATAGCAGCAGCACAGACGACTGCTATATAATACATTTATATTATATATCTTTCTCTCTGTTGCGCGTCGAAAATCATATGCTCCGCGTGCACATAAGCTCGGCGGCACACACACACGATATCGCTTCGAATTGACATTTTCGCGTTTGATACGCGAATTCGTGCTTTACTCTCTGTTGCGTGTGTGTATACGTACGCGACGAGACATACGTATGCACTACGTCCGCATGGAAAGAGAGAGGGAAAGAGGGAAAGCAATATGATAAGACAAGACGTTTGAACGAGTATGACTTTGTTTGGGAAAGCTCGTATTTATTACGCGTAATACACACAAACGTGCATAATAGTATACGTATTTGTTATGAAAGCGTCTCGGAGAAATCAAAAAACTTAACTGCTGTTTGTTTTCCAAATATCTTCTGTGTTTTTGGAAGCACAGGAGTTACGGGCTCGAGCGTGAAAACGATAAATATTTACTCGCGTGGGGCTTGAGTATGATGAACTCGCGGATGGGATAAGTCGATGATTATGTTTGTAGATCTAATTGTCGTTAATTTTCACGTCACTATCGTGTTTAGACAGTATGGTTATCTGTCAAATCTTTCTGACTTTGTTTGAATTACATTAATTTTTTATTTAAAATAATTTTTGGTAAATTTTTAGTTAGTAGATAAATAATAGTCTTTTTTGTAAACTGAATATCTTGGTACAAAAAAACTATTTACATTTAAATTGAAAAAATTTATGTTTAAAAGATATACTGATTAATTTTTTGTAATGTTTTACAGTTATAAGCGCATAGATGTGATGTGCACTCTGCTCAACATGTGCTTACCATTTGAAGTGCGGTATCTGGGGGCTTGCATAGAAGACCTGGGCAAGCGGGACTACACAACTCTCAGAGAAACTGAGAATCGTGCCAATACACCCTCGGATCTGACTGATTTGTCAAACAGTGATCTGATAGACAAGCATACGAGGAGAAAATTGGCTCTGTACATGGCATTGCTGCACACCTGCAATCATGCGTGCGCAGTCATCATGTACAAAAATTTGTCAAATTTCGATCCGGACGAGATGCTCACCAAAATGCTCAATGGGACCAATTTTTCACGAGATCACCAGCCCCTGGAAGAGTTACTTTTAATCTACACCATGGCTCTCAATCATCCAGCTTTCAATTATCAACAGAAGAGCACCATAGCAGACATCTTTCTCAAATTGAGGGAGGAAGAGACACGCTTGGGTGTTAACAAAAATGGGCCTGTATCATACAAAACTGTTCAAGTAAGTCATTCTGTTAACAATAGTCAAGTATCGCTTGTGTCAAATGCTGCAATATTAACAATCATTTTCATTTCAGGGCTGCGTACCTTGTGTAAATCAAAACGAATCAGAGCTAGTGGTGACTCATCCACCGATGCAAACCATTCAAGGTAATTAAAGCCCAGAAACTATAATCCTGCATCATTGCATTCGATTCCACTGATCCTTACATAACAACAATTTCCAATTTTAAAGTCAAAAGCTGCCCTGTCATCGACGATTAATCCATTCTCCGTAATATCATTGACAGAATGAACGAAGAGCATTCATTAATCGTTGACTTTCCATTCAGACCGCACAAACTTATCGCTCGTCGCGCGTTCTAATGTTTCGCAGTACTGCACGAGTTTCCCGAAGAGATGCACATGCGTAACAGCGCGCTGATGGCCCAGGGAATGCCACCGCCGCAGGCCGCAGCCGCAGCAGCGATCATGCACCAGCATCCGGGTGGCGGCATGGCCGTGCTACCGGTGCCGACCGAGCAGATCGCGTCGATGGCAGCAGCAGCAGCACCACCGCCGCCGCCGCCGCCGCCACAGGCCGCGGGTCAGCCGCACTACCTGCCGGTGGGCTACGCCACGATGGCACCAATGGCGCCCTGGCCCTTGATGCCGCACAATCATCAGATCGTCTATCAGGCGGCCGCCCCGGTGGCGGGGACGGTGACGGCGGCTGCGGGCGAGATGGTCCCGGCGCCGCCGCCGCCGCCACCACCGACGGCTGCTGCTGCTGCGGCCGCCTACTCGCCACTCGTCAGTCAGCAATCGTCGCCGACGCACTCGCAGAGCCACAGCCGAAGCAGTTCGCCCACGGTCGCGTTGCAGCAGCGTAACAAGGTCAACGGCCCGCCACCGCCGGCGTCGACGTCGACGGCCACGGGAGTCTCGACAACGCCTACGTCACAGCAGCAGCAACAATTACAACCGAGAACATCGACTCAGCCTACCTCGAATACCGTGACGATCTCAACCTCTAGTTCTAGTTCAAACGTTCAAACGAACATCACAAACTCGTCGGCTATGGTGAGTGCCGTAATTTAATTTCCCTTTTAAAATGATGTACTCAACACCTGCTCTCTTTTACAGGGCACGACGACGTCCTCCATGCCCGTGCTGCCGTCGATGAGCTCGAACAGGGCGCCACAGTTGCCGCCGTTGATGCCGTCGAGGCCGCTCGTTCCTTACAATGGCAGATACAGCGGCGAGCACATACCCGCGGTACCGCCGGCGACGATCGCGTCGACCTCGACGTCGACGCCGACGACGATGGGCCCGCCGCTGGGCGCTAAAGCTCAACAGGCGCCGCCCAGACTCAAGCCCGCCCTGGCCAGCGAGACGGGAAACAAGGAGATGCCCAATTTCAAGGGCAACTTCCAGAACTATTCTAAGAACGAGGTGAACTAGCTGCTTTGGTTTTAATAGTATAATATACGCATATTAAATGAGAATTGATTGATAATAAGTAATTATCATACAGATTCGGAGACTGAGCAACGAAGATGTATCGACCGACGGCGTTACGTTTAACGGCCCGATCGCCAAGAGCCAGACCAATGGCGTCGACAGCAGCAGCAGTAGTAGTAGCAATAAAAATTTCGACGGCCCTAACAGCGTCGTCTCCTCGTCGTCGTTGTCGTCGTCGTCGTCCGCCGACGCGACGTCTCACGAGATGAGCGAGGTGATGAACGTCGCTGGCAATAATAACGAAATTGGTTACGTGCGTCGTAATAAAGCCATTGCGAAACGTTTACCGAATTTCCATTTTCAGACCATGCCCGTTGTTGAGAGCAGCGTTGGCGAGGCGCTGAACGGTGGCAAAACCTCCGCTGCTGTTGCCGCGAATATAGCTGCAGCGGCGGCGGCGGCGGACCCGACGAGCATGCACAATTATCATCCGCAGACGCAGCAGCAACAGCAACAGCAACAGCAGCAGCAGCACAATATGAGGCGAGGTGGTGGCGGCTACGCGAATCATATGGAGCAGCAGCAGCAGCAGCCGGCCCAGATACAGATGTTTCACGCGACGCCGACGACGCTGTATCCAGCGCACAACGCGTGCTACAACTGCTTCACACCGGTGCCCGTCGGGGTTCCGAATCGCTACACCAAGTAAGTTAGGATGGACCGGTCAATTTAGTATAAAAGTAGCACTTTGCTCGATTTTGATTGTCAATTCTTTTTTTTTTTTTTGTTCCTTCATAGTCGAAGTGGCGCGCAGCAGCACTTTTACTGCTTGACTCAGCTTCAAGGGCTGCGCCTCGAAGATAATTGCAATAGAGTCGAGAAAAATAAGTATCACTCGCCAACGACGGAGAGCCCGAGCAGTCATTCGCCACCGGTCACGCCGCCAGCCACGAATTGGCAGGAGAACAACATTCAGGGAAACGTCGATATGTCGATGCAACAGCAACAGCAGCAGCAACATCAAACAGTTCATTCCATTCCGTCGAATCAGCAACAACAGCAGCAAGTACCACCGGCGCCACCGTCGGGCGTGGATCGAGGGCGAGGATCATCGGTATCGAGAAAGAATCAGTCACACATGATCGCGCGGCACAAAACGTCGACGACGTCGAGCGGTGGTGGAGCACCCGCACCGCCTCCCACGCAGATGATGAACGGGGTCGCGAGCGGTCAGCAGCAGCAGTCCGGCGGCGGAGCGCCCCCGCCGAGCAATGCGCCGAACGCGGGGGGAGCACCGATGCAGCCTCCACCGCCGCCGCAGTACGTGACGGGTCCTCCTCCGCCCGCGGGTGGTCCAGGCGCGCCCTCGCCCACCCCGATGAGTCCGGCTTATCTGGCGCACACGGGACACTTCACGACTCTGAGGCCCGCTACGACCGGTATTTATACGAATTTCACGCACGCGTACGCGCGACCGGCACCGGGCTACCCGACGCTGGCCTATCAGCACAACGGCGAGATGTTGTATCACTTTCCACCACCCGGAAATATCCCACCAGGCGGCCATCCGGTGACGAACGCGCAGCAACAACAACAACCGCCGCAACAGACGAACGTGCAGCAGACTTCGCCCGGGCAGCAGCAGCAGCAGCAGCAGCAACAGCAGCAGCAACATCAGCCACCGCCGCAGCAGCAGCAGCAACAGCCACACATTTTCGTTCCATCGGTTCCCGTCACGTATGCTCCAGTTAATTCCGCGCCGCCAACGATAATGCAACAGCAGCAGCAGCAGCAACAACAACGAAAGGAGCCGATATCGCCGACACCGATGTCACAGCCAGTGAGAATATCTTGTTACAATTGTGGGAGTAACGCCCATTTAGCCCAAGACTGCACCGAGGTGACGATGGATACGCTTACGAAACAAGGTAAAATTTTCAGCAACTCCATCGAATCTAATGTACATCGAGCACTTTTTAAACCTCGTGTATTTCGTTTTACAGCTACCTACAAATTAGATTATGCGTCGGGGAAGCCGAAATCGAGTAACGAAAAGAACCAAAGCTCTGACAAGTGATCCCCCGCTGTGGACCAGCTGGCCCGGTTAGAGTCCTTCTTTGGTTCGGAGAAGGCAGTTGATTATGACAGCAAGGCAGTCGCAGTAGTGGCCGCCGCAATGACAGCATAATCATCCGCATCGTCCTCTCGTCGTCGTGGTACTACTCTACCCTCCTGCGATCGACGTTCATCGCCGCAGCCGAACGAAACGTTTGCAGCGATCAATCGCCATCGTCAAGGAGGTGGCGCCTTTTTCAGCGCCCGACTCGAATGTTATTACTGACGAATTCCGTGAATTGCATTGATGTACGAAAAAAAGGCGCACTTTTACTCCGAGGATTCGTTTACGGAGTTTGTATTTAATTGTTGAAAGCGAAACTCTTTAGTCTTCATTGAATGTATTTATATATGACACATAATGTAGATGCTTATTCTCTTACGCTAACTATTCTCATTTTTTACTAACTTCTCCAACTACTTGAAGATGAGAGTTTGTGAAATTGCGAAGCTCGTGAAATCATGGTACAAGCAATTAGTTGTGAATACTTTTTACCGTGTTCTTATTTATACGCGTATTAATGATATTGACGATTATTTATCATCGAATTTTATTGATTACTTCATTAATTACTGCTATTATTAACGTATAACAAATATTCGCGATACTCGTGTACAATGGCGTTTATTGAAGTGTGCACGGTATGTGAAAACCAGTGATTATAATTTATTTTTTTTTGTTTATGCTAATTAATTTTTGTGAATGAAATCAATTTATGCCGGGAAATGCCGTACGGGTGTAACGAGGCATTTTCGTAACTAAATTGTTCGTGGTTGTGTTTGCCGCTAATGTCCGATTGATTCGAAATGGTTATGTTGATTATTTTTTTGTTGCTATTTGTTGTGTGTGGAATCGCGATCAATTTATTTTTTTTACCAGTGATATTAAATTGAGATTGAAGCTCGTTAAAACGTGTAATTTGAAAATTATTATAAAATCAATTCGTAAATTTAGCAGAAGACGTGTATTGACACGATAAATGAACTTTCTTGCTGCAATCATCATTAATGCGTCTTTAACGTGGAGAATGAATTTGTTGACCACATCAAGGCTATTGATTTTTTGAATGAATTTTTGTACATACAATTTTAAATGAATGATCTGATTTTTCATAAGTCGGATGTTTGGATGAATTTTTAGCCTCTTACAATGTACGACACTGTTGAGCGCGATTTGTTTGCTTTTTCTTTGCAGAGCAATAAAAATGACCTGAAAATCATAATGAATTTGAAAAAAAACGATAAATGTTATAAATAAAATGAAATGAAAAAAAACGTACATGTGTTAACTGACGAAGCAATGTAAAAGCTAATAGAAATATTGCGCGCCTTACGTTTAATTCGTTAAAAAGTGCGCTCATTGAATAAAATGATAATTTTGTAAAATGATAGTTTTAATTCTCCGTTTCAAAACTCCAATTAAAGGTAAATGGTAATATATAAATATGTATTACTGGCACGACTTCCACCTTTTTTAAATGTCGCTTAAGAAAAAAAAATTAAAAAACATTTTCTACTATGCTCTTTTGAAATTAAAGTAAAAAATTGTTACATTCAGTACTATTTTACTAAAAAAGAAAAATTTGGTGTATGTTGTACATGAATATTATTCACACGTTCTAACACATTATACACGACTGTATATTTTTCAATTCTTTACTTATTGAGTAAAACCACAAGTGTTCGATTATCTTATATAGCTGCCATTATCAAACTTCTTTGTGTTTACTGTAATACGAATTAAAAAATGAACGCGACAAGATTATGATAATAAATACTTCTAATTAAGACATCGCTGATACAGCAATTTTTGCAAAGTCTAAGTGTATATATTTGAATGTCGTAGTTTAATATATTCTGTTTACAAAAAATTGGTCACCTAAAAAACAACAAAAATAACAAAAAAAAAGTATGAAACAAAGAGTCGTCCATTGGAGAAATTTTAGTAATTTTATACTGAAAGCTTTATCTTGTTCAACCTCGTCTATTATAGCGCAGAGTTTTTTTAAACTATATATAGAAAGGTACATGAAAATAAGGCTAAAATATTTATGCTTTTTACAACGTTATCGAATCTCGTTGTTATACTGGATAATATTATTGTAAACTATCATGAACGTAAACAAATTTTGTAGTAAAATGTGAAAAGGTAAATCGTTTTCGCGACTAAGTCATCGATTTAATAGATATAGTTTTATGACAAAATAAAATAGGCCCTAAGATACCTAACAATTGGTTGTGTACAAAGTTGTAAGTATATGGTTCGTTTTTGTGTACGGTAAAACGAGTGAGAGAATCGAAAAAAGCTCCCTGTGCCGTCATGTACACAGTTTTTTTAGAGCGAAATCTCGTCAATGGCAGCTAGTCAGACAGATTCACGATTGTTGAAACATAATAATTATTTCTTCACAGATCTTGAAGCTTCTATCTGTATTGAGTAAGCTTCGCCATAGTTGATCGATATTTCTCTTATATTTTGATAAATGTTAAGAAGCAGAAATATCGTTACACTTGCGTATCCTTGTGAAAAATTGTATTTATTGTAAAAACGATTTTTGTATTTCTATTGAAAAAATGAGAAATCTCACGAGACAAATTGTTTTCTAATCATGAGAATCCATTTGTGAACTGATGTATTTCTACAAATGTGCACAAACTCGCTCGAATTTGTTGGGCTAGAAAAAAAAAATTCCGTTGCTGATAAGATTGACTCGAGAGACCAATTTTCTCTCTAAACAAAAACAAAATGTTTTGTTAATATAATGATCTCGAACATGGCAATTTGAATAATTAGATGAAAGAAAAATACATATTTATCGTTATTTTGTCTGCCGTACATAGAAAAATCATAACTATTTTTAACAAGATATTGGAAATAAATAGCAAAATCACAGGATGAGTTTGCTCCTCATGAAAAATACCAAATAATTAATTGTTAAGCCTACGTGAATTGTATAAAAATTTTACAACTTTAATTAAAAAATCTTCACTTAGAGTTGAATCAAGTACATTCGACCCGAAGGAAAATCGTTTCAGTGATTCATGACTACTATACCTCAATGAAAAACTCGCAGTAATTAATCTCAACTAAATATTTGTAATTAGTCTGTGCTTTGTTTAGTATTCAGTGTATATCAAAATAGTTTTATCAATCGTAAGTATATTACGTGGGTCTCTCTTCTGTTGATCGCAACGATTTTTCTCCAAACATCTAATTAAGATCTTTTAATAATTTTCACGAAAGAATAAAGAATGTATAAGCATGATCGATGATCATTGATCATCTATAAGTGACCGATTGCGAGTTATTAAAAAAAAATTTCAAGTATGAACAACGACATACATGTATATCTCCTGACTTCATTTTTGAAAGCATTTATTAGCGAGTCCGGAATAATCAAAAAGAAGCATATAACGCTGATAATACTCACAATGTGGATTTGAGAATTAAAAAGTTTAAAGCGGCAAAAATAGAGAAAAGAAAGAAAGTCACAGGCGTGTATATTAAACATAAACATATTATAGAAGTAAATTCGCGTGCAGCATCGATTCGTTTTTGTAAGCATAATTGTAATTGTACATGTGAAAACGCGCATAAGAGATCAACGTACAGAAGCTTATTTATTCTATTTTTGAACTCACTTTTGCATACGTAATAAGACTAACGTAGATTTATAGATAAATAATTATCTGATTCATCGTTGTGTATATGAATAGAAATTCGCGATGGCAAAGCGACTTATTATAAATACGCGTGAAAATCACACATTTTACCATTGCCGTAAATTCGACGAAAATCAACTTATACCTCATAATGATAGACTCGTAAGTAAACATAATTATTCATTAAAACGAAAAAGCAAAAGTTGAATCTTTTCCGTGCTGGAGTTTTCCCGAGGTGTTATAAAAAAAATCATCGAGATATATGTTGCACAAGTAATGATTTTTTTTTCAAGAGTATCAACTCATTGTATAACCTTTATGTATACAATTGCGCCCTCGAAGTATCTTGAGATATATTAGTGAAATTGATGTTTCGCGCGGGCTCGAAGGTGTGCCCCGGTTCTCCTATACGCGCACCGAATAAATGACTAACGATGTACTTTGATAGTATGTTGCGAATCGAGAATGAGATGAACGTTTTGAAATATATCAGTAGTTTAAAAACAATCTAATTGTAATAATTGAAAAAAAAAAACAAGAAAAATCGTCAGAGTTTATACCGGAAAATACTCGATATTTCTAAAAAAGAAAATAATAATAATCAATCCAATATTTAGGGTACACACATCGATGTAGTTTTTATTCTCATCGCGAGTCGTCGTCGTCGTCAATGCGGGTCGACTATCGCACGCAATTGGCGACAATTGATTAATCGATCGATTCTTCTATCCATAGACTGTGAAAAAATTTTATCCTTGTAAATCTAGCTTCTCAAGCGGATGAAAAGTCGACCACAATAAGATGAATATGAAGAAGAAGAAGAAAAAAAAAATTATAACGGTATAATTGTCACGGTAAATATGTTCCTGCTATTGACGGGTCGCAGGAACAATTGGTAGTATCATTGAAAAAAAATAAATAAAGCTCCTCGTGAATATCTTCCTAATTGTTCGAGACAACCAACAATAAAATGTCGATCGTCGGTAACATTGTCAAATAGTTATAAATTCTTTTTTTTCATAAATAATCAAATCGATGCTGTCCAAAAGAGTGCTCAAATTAAGTGAGATGTAAGTTATATGATTGTTGATACAAAAAATGGAATTTTAGACTCGCTTTTCAAGCTTTGCTATTTTAATTTGCTATTGGCTTGATTGTGCCCGAGTTGGATAATGTTTATTTGATTAAACAAAATGATACACGCTCGAGAAAAGAAAATATCTCCACAAATTTCATGTACTTATGATTAAGTTTATGTTAGAGAAGCATATGGCAACGTGTCATAAAGTATGCGTTATTTTGGAATCTCGATAAAACGAGAATTGCCAAATAGCTATTTGTATGTTGTTTTTTTTTCTTACGATATGTATTTTTTAAACGAACGTCATAGAACGATTCGATGTGTTTTTATTTGCTTGTATTTATAATCAATCGTGTAAGTGTTACTCAAAGAAGTCGATCGATGTGAAATAATTTTATAATGGATTACGCGAGCGCTGAAAAATTTTTTTTTTACACTGCGATACACATAAACGCGACAGCGCTCAAAAGTACGATATAGAAAAGAGAAAAGAAAAAATATAACAGCCGAGTTATTAATGCATAAATGAATTTGATATTCTCATCCCAGGACCGTGTACATTTTTTTTTCCTGAAAACGGTATATCCTAGGCGATACTCGAGCGTACTCGGCTGAGCAGCGATATTTGTTGAGAATAACGTTACTGAGAAAAATTAAATAATTAAAAAAAAAAATGGATTATAGGATTAATAGAGAATAATGTGTGTATGTATCGTAGAATGCTATTGTGAAATTTATGAATGAGCGTTGGTAAGATTAACATAAAACGTAAAAAAAAAAAAACAAAAAAAAAGATTTTAAAGGCAAATACGTATTGTACATTTACTTACTGAATCCTCAAAGCGGTGATCGATTATTTATCATTAAAATTAAAAAAAAACGCGACGACTAATCCGTAGTAAATGGGAGAGTAATTTTTAATAAAAAAAAGTAATAAAATAAAAACAAAAAATACGTGGAAATTGAAAAAAATGATTACAGAGATTAAGATATCAATGAGTCGTAATATTTATGCCGAATTTAGCGAAAAATGGGCGAAAGTTGCTGCTGAGAGAAAGAGAGTACGTAAAAGTACGAAAATGAAAATTTATCGAACTCAACAGTCGCAATCTCTGTACACACACGATGTGGATGAATTTGTGTGCCACTATAGCTCGTGTAAATATTAAAAAAAAAAAACAAAAAGAAGTATAAAGAGTTTACAAACAAATTTGTGATGTGTATATAAACACACCTATATATTATAAAAATATATGCGGAAAAAAAATATCGAGATATATTTGTAAATTCTGTTATCCGAATGCATTATGAATATTTTAACCTCCTGTAATAAAAAAATATTTAATAAAAAATGTTACCAACCACCCATGGATTTTCTCGAAGCCATTATTATCGTCATCATCATCGTCGTCGTCCCGATTCGCGAATTTTTTTTTTCAAGCCGGAGAAACAATTACATTTTTACGGGTCGGACGAGATAAGATGTATTGAAAAAAAAACGAATCGAGAACGTGAACGAGAATCATATATATCAATTTCCTGGCCGTGCTGCGCGCAGAGAGAGCTCTCGGCTCGCCGATATCGGCTACTGGTCACGTCTGTCCAATCGTCGACGTAATAAAAAAAAAAGAAAAAAAAAAGAAGCAAACTAGAGAGACGGAGAAAAGTCTTCTTGCATTATATATGATATATACAGTCGGAGGCATATAATATGCGGGGTGGGCAGATGCTGCTGCTGCTCCATCGGGCCAGTCTTTTGGCACACGGAAAAACAAGGATAAGTATTCTTCTCTCTCTCTCTCCACGTCGGCTAAACCTCATCATTAGCTTTTCTCTCTTGCCTCTATAATACAGCCGCGCACAATCGTCGTCATCCTCTTATGTACGTTTCTTTCGCTCGCCGCACCGCCGCCGCCAGTTATATATAAGCACGAGTGGTGCAAGTCGAGCTGCGAAACGACGACGACGATCGAACACGCCTGCGTCGGCGCCACCTGCGTCGCTGCTATACACGCAGCAGAGAGAAGCTCGTCGATATAATAAACCCTCCACTGCCACCACCACCATCCAGCGGAGCACCCCCGTTTTGCATTATATACATGTATATACATGGGAGCCTAGAGCTCGATGAGAAGCAGCAGCAGCAACGAACTAGATAAAGCTCGAGCATGCGCCGAGTTTCGAGTATACAGTATATATCTCGAGAGGAGGAGGAAGAGGAGGAGGAGGAGGTGGGATGGAGGGGTGTGCGAAAGCGGGGGGCAGTATATATATATACGCGAAAACCATGTAACGTCGCGTCCCGCATTCTCCGTCTCTTTCGCGCTTACGTGCGTTTCTGCGATATCGCTCAATATTCATCCCTCGACAGGCAGCAGCAGCGGCGCTGGAGAACCCGACGGCGACGACGCAGCAGCAGCAGCAGTGAGGAGGAAGCGAGGCACAGCACAGTAGTAGCACAGGCCAGTGTGTGGTGAGAAAAAGGCACGCGCGCTTGCAAGAGAGAGAGAGAGAAAGAGTGTGAGAGAGAAAAGAGAAGAGAGAAAGAAGAAGAAGAAGTGAGATAAGAGAGAAATAGTTTTGCATAGAGATTCTCTCTCGACGCCAAGAGCCGTCGTTGAATTATAAATAATACAACAACAAAAATTTAATGTAAAACAGAGTTGTTGGTTTCGTTTTTGGAGTTTGTTAATAAATTGAGTGTGCATTAGGTATTATTATCACGAGTGCGCGCGCGTTGTGGACCCAAGTGTCGTCGAGAGTACCCGAAAGTCGAGCTTTCGGAGTTATAATTTCCTTCGCGTAAAGTAAAGGCAAACAAAAAAGGCAGAAAAGATGGCCGAGAAAAAGGGACAAGTGACCGAACAGTACTACATGCCGCCGCCCGATCTCGACAAATGGGAGAGCATGAGGATCTTCTTCTACAACTCCGAGACCGGACAGGTCATGGGTCGTACCGGCTCGAGCTGGGGTGAGTAGTAGAGTCGGTCCTGGGCAGCTAAATAGCTAGCTGCTGCTTTTTTCACACACATCACCCTCCCTCTTTTTTTTTTTTTTTTTTTNCTTTTTTTTTTTTTTTTTTTACTACTACTGTCGTGTACCTAAAGGCATTCCTGCCGTCGCGATTATTTCTTCCCTTTGATGAATTACGTAACGATCGTGAGGGGGTATACGAAAAAAGAAAAAATACACGTCCACCCTCGTAGACGCAACGTAACACACACACACACACACACACACAGATACACACGCGATTATGTCACGGATCTCGGCGCGCTCGCTCGTGTGCAAGCACTCGAGGCAAATACGTATCCGTACGTGCGCTGGCATCGAATTAATCGTTTCGGGGGAGGATTTACATAATCCTGTGTCCCTCGCACGAATCCTGACGGAGCTATATATGTGTGTGTGTGTGTGTGTGTGTGTGTGTGATGTAGGCGCCGCGAATCCTCGCTGACTCGCTCGAGCGTCATCGTCAAAAAAAGTATCGATACTCGCTTTTTCAAACGATCGATCGACTTTACCGAGCATGGCGAAAAAGTTTATGTAAAAAAAAAAAATAATAACGGAATGAAAAAGCACGTCAAGAGTCAGAGGGTGAGAGATAGAGCGAGAGCGAGAGAGAGAGAACCGATCGATCCCCCTTAAAGTCGATGAGACCTCTGCAGTTGGTCGTTCGAAACGATAGAAGCTCTCTTTTCCTCTCGCTCGCTCGTGTGTACATGCACTTTGGCGAACTATAGATACACGCACAGACACACACACGGCAAAGATTGGTAATTTTGTACGGTTTCTGCTCCCCTTGCGATAGACTTGCACATACGTAAACATGTACACATTCGCTATTATTATGTCTTTCCTGATTTTTGGTTCATTGCGGAACCTTTACTTTCTATTGCTTGACGTATATAGAAAAATCTTACATATGTAGCTGAGAAAAGCTCGCGAAGCTTTTGCGTTAGATATGCCATCGAATCATCCATGCCTTTTCTTTTATATCTTGAAACAATTCAGCCGATACATATAAAAATATCGATTGCAGCGGAGAGAGATAGAGAGCGAGAGAGTATATAGCTCGTCTCTCTCTCTCTCTCGCGAGCGGCGCGCACGCGGACGCGAACATGGCGACTTTGTGCACACGGAGATGCATTCGCGTGCATGTGCGAGCGAGATAGAAAACCAGCCAACTCGTCGATCTAGAATTTCTGTGTGGTATACGCTATTAACCGCCGTTCGATCCAGCCAAGAATATTATTATTAATGCTTTTTTTTGATTACCGATCGTCGTGCGAGTGTCGGTGCGAGCGAGGAGGTAAAAAAGCTCGCGTAAAAGCTCAAAACCTCGACTTTTGCCGTTACACACTCTAACATAGTAGAGCAGCCATCGCCACCACTACCACCACCATTGAGTAACGAGATTTCGATGTGCGATTGACTAATTCATTCGGCCGCGTTAGAAAAAAAAAATACGTATATAGCCGCGACGAAGAGTGATTAACACCCTGACTCCGTGTCTGTGTGTGTGCGTGTGTCTACGTGTGTAAAGCTTTTTTTTTTGTTACACGCTCATGCTATATACTCGCCTCGCTCGGCACAGAGAGTGTGAGAGTGAGAGAGAGAGGAGCAATATTTATTAAGTAGGTCACCGTACCGCGCGGGCGCGCTCGGCTCTCCTCGCCACTGCTGCTGCTGCTGCTGCTTACGTCTGTGCACAGTTTTTTTTTTCTTTATCATCTCTCTCTCTCACACGCTATACACGCATCTATGAACGAATCAACGCGATTAGAGTTGCCAAAAAATCGAGCTGGAAGAAAGGAGGTATCGAAAAATTGTATCGACGAGTAGTACGCAGCGTTGGACAAAAAAAAAAGAAAATGCAAAAACGCGTGCACCACCCTCTTACATGCGCGTAAGATCGTTGGTTTTCTGTGTAAAAGCTAGCTAGCGAGCGAGCTGCAGCGGGAAGTAGTGGTATGGCAGTAGTCGGACATTTTGGAACGCGGAGGGAAACGCGCGAGTGAAAGAAGAGAGAGAGAGGGAGGGAGGGAGGGAGGGATAGTCAGGCACCGGAGGGTGGTTGTGCATGCAAGCTCTCTCTCTCTTTCTCGCGTGCGCGCGCGAGCAAACGAGACGGAATCAGCCGAAATCTTCGCCTCTTCTTTTCTTTTTTTTATTTAATATTTTTCTTTTGACCTCGTACATACCAGTTAGTTTTTTAATGAATTTCTCTGATCAACGAGGATGAGCAAGAGCTGCCGATGAATATTTATACGGATGAGCTAGTATAGTTTCGATGGAAAATTATTATGTCAAAGAGGGAAAGAGAGAGAGAGAGATAGCCAGAGACTCGAGGCGCGCATGCACGGCGGGCTTCCAATCTGTGTGTGTATGTGTGTGTGTGCATGCAGTGCAGACGCGACTGTACATTATACACATATATAGCAGCAGTAGCAGAGGGTGAAAGCGGCGACAGACTCTCGGGTTACATAACAGGGCGTACGTCTGTACTCGTGTGTGTGTGTGTGTATTTCTATGTGCATCGACGGTATATTACCGACGCAACGATAACGCCGAGGTTCTCTATTCCCGATTCTTTTTTCTTTTCTTTTTTTTGTTTTGTCAGATCCACGGGATTGTATATTCCTTTTCTTCTTTTTCCGTCTCGTAATACTTCGAGCGCTGGTATATTATACCATCTGGACGAGATGGCTCTTTTCAATTTAATCAAGCTCGCGCAACGGAATACGAATAATGGCTTATTTATGTATACGAGCAAGGACTCCGGGCGAGCTTCGCTGTTGAAGCTTAAAACAAGTCTCGGGTTCTTTGAATTAATTAAAATCAAAGACATTAGCTCGATCGAAAGTAGCTCAATCCCGAGCTCACGAATGCCCAAAATTCGACGAGATGAACGCACCAAATTCTTACGGTGCATGAAAAAAATGAATAATTATTCACTGCGAGTTCGATGATTTTATTCTTCTATATTTCTCGCTATGTGCCACACGCATATCGTAATCTCCAGACAATTGCTATATGTACGTTATAATTCGATTCCGTGAATAAAAATTACTGGCAAACGCAAACAAGAACGATAACGGAGTTATCGGTTGCGCGAAGTCGACGATGAATTTTCCAATCAACTTGCGTTCTTTCGTCGGGACAACTATTATAAATATAGCGAATAATATCAAATATTTTTATTGTAACGCAAAACATCTTATAATTGGCAAAATTATCGGTGATAACTATACTTCCTCCGGAAATGCGAGATAAAGTTTATTCTATATTCATTACTTATTTACATGAAAATAAAAAAATATACTTAAATACAAGCGTGAAAATTGAAACTAACGACAATCAACGAGCGAACGAAAGCAGTATCACCCCCAGAAAGACGCGAGAGAGAGAACGAGAGATCGCGCGATTGGATAAGGCAGCCTTGAACAATTTTATACGACACGCATTTGGCCCGATTTCAACGAGATGAAGATTTAAAACACGTATCCGGAGTTTTTTTCTTCTTTGTGCATTATATGTACATAAGCTATATAACTATTAAAGCCGATTTAATTACGAGCGAATGCATTCCGGGGGATAATTGAGTTTTTTAATGACCAGCCGAATTGTATAATGAGTTTCGGAGAAAGCGCAGTATATACGGAGATGCCCACAAAAAAAAGATGAGTCATGGGAAGTATGTAAAAAGCTCGGAAAGACATGATAAATGCTCGCAAGCTTATTTTTCCTTTCTTTCTTTCTTTCTTTATTCTCACATAGAAAGAGGAAACGCAAGCGAAGAATCCGTAAAATATATACAAGATAGTACACTACTGCCCCTCGTGTGTGCGAGTATAGCTCGCGAACTTAGTAAAACGCATATATAGCGCATAAGGGAAAAAGAGAGAGAGGTGGGATCAATAACCCAGACTGTAGACCATAGCTAAAGCTACCTCATAATGCATACTCTCACTGGCATAGTGTACATATAACACATACACACACACAGACAGACAAGCGTCGTTTTCTATACTTTAACGCGAACTGCCCCCGTGGATAGGGGGTCGTAGCCCCCTTGGCCTCTCTTCCTCTTCTCTCGCTTATACCCATCATCGTACTACCCCCGTAGAGTATATACCGCTGCGAGTCGATGATGTATATATCGTCGGCCAGGCATGAAGAAGCGGGGCGCCACTTTGTCGCGCTCGACTTTTCATTTTATTTTCACATTTTCCTTATTTCGCGTGTACGTATATATTTGCGCGTGATTATTTATCCGAGATCGGAGGGTAGATTAAGAATATTAACCGATTAAAATTTCACACACGCCGCGCGGTGAATGACGTTACACGATACGATACGGTCGGATTGCGCAGCTGAACAACGAAAATATTTCGATGAAACGAAAAAAACAAAAAAAAGATGACGTCGAGTTTATTGACATTGCGCGTTTTTTAATCGATCGCGAATTAAATTGATAGTGCGCGCGCGCGTCTGTGTATTTTTTAATGCGTTACGTAATCCTCGTGCCGCGCGAGTATTTCAATCGCCACAGAGAGAGAGAGACAATCGACGAATCAATCGTTTACAACATTGTATGCACGCATTTTATCTTTACGAGTGCAGCAAATCCGCCGATCCGAGCTATTACGAGCGCCGAGACTTTCTCATTATCTTCGAATTTTTTCCTCGCTAATTTTTCTTCGACAGATGGTATTATTAATCTCTTTTATCGCCAACTGTTTCGATGAAAAATCAACAACAACGCATCGGCCGGATAATCTCTCGCTCTCGATACACGTGCGAGCGAGCGATATTCTCGCGTGCTTATATATATATCTCGAGCGAGAGAGACAGAGAGACACAATTGATTTTGTCAATTGGCGGCGAATCGATGTATAACGTAGCGAGTATCTTTTTTTATTTCTTTTTAAAATTGTGAAGCTAGTAGCAAGGTCGAATGCGACGAAACGCATAGGAAGTAAGAACGACGACGATGACAACGTGACTCGACAATAATCTATGAAATAATATGTGCGTATTTTATCACTGGAAGAAAAAAGAAAATCAAGTCAATCGAAATGGTTCCACTTACTTGACACGTGCTTGAATCGTAAAGTTATTTTCGATTCTTTCAATATGATTGATTTTGAAAGGCGTGTCATATCGTCCACGTGCGTCAGGCCTATGTACGTACTATTCATTTTTCTCCCATTTTCTCAATCTCGAAGCTCGATCGATGATACCGAGTATTATCCAAAACATGCACCGAACGTAAAAAATTGAACGGGTGCAAGTTCGAAACAAATGACGTCTCTCGGACGCGCTCATGCATAATAATATTGTCTCTCTCTGTCTGTCGCGCTCTCTTTTTTTCTATTAGAGGGCTACGCGATGAGCGAATAATTCAGGCCAATTAGTCGGCGCATCTTAATTTGCTCGATGACCCGCGACACAGCGTCTATATACACACGCGCGTATCAACTTCTCATATTATAACCATTAAGCAAATTTATACACACACCCATGCCTATTGTATAATCTCAGCTCTTTACATATAATATATATACAGATGTAAACGTGAAAATTTTAAAACCTCTTTCTCTCCCCCCCGAAAAACAGCCAAGATCCTGCTGTTCTACGTGATCTTCTACGCCGTGCTGTCGGCCTTCTTCGGCGGCATGCTCGCCGTGTTCTATCAGACCCTGGACGCCAATCAGCCCAAGTGGCAGCTGGAGCGCTCGCTCATAGGCAGCAATCCCGGCCTCGGCTTCCGTCCGATGCCGCCGGAGAGCAACGTCGAGTCCACCCTGATCTGGTACAAGGCCAGCGACGAGGGCAACTATCGTCACTGGTCCCGGGCCTTGGACAAGTTCCTGCAGGTCTACAACAAGACGGGCATCGGCGCCGTCAATCAGGACAATCGCATTCTGTGCGACTACGGCAAGCCCGTGCCCCAGGGCAAGGTGTGCGACGTGCTCATACACGACTGGCACCCGTGCACCAAGGCCAACTTTTACAATTATCAGAAGTCGGCGCCGTGCATCTTTCTCAAATTGAACAAGGTGAGTGTGTGTTGCGTGAGAAGTCGATTATACCGGATTGGTAAAGAGAGATGCTAGGCGTTTTATGGCCAAGTTTTTGACCAAAGATAAAGTTTCTCGTGCATGAAAGCACCATTGGAAATGAACTGGAGAGTAGAATTTATACGGTATCTGGAATCAAACTCAGAAATTATTAAATTATAATAACTTATAGATCCTCTACTTATACAATTATTTTACCTTTACCGCTTGTAGATTTTCAGATTTAAAGTTACTCGCCATCTAGCGGCGCACGATTAAAGTGGTTTTATCGCAATGAAAGTCCACGAGAACTAGTCTAAATTTTTTTGAATCGTCCTTTTCTTTGGTCATAAATCAACGTCGAGCATTTCTATATCAAGTTTTTTAAGGGGGGAAAGGTACCTTAAACCTACATTTATAAAAAATTTATTAAAAATGAAGAAAAAATTTTTTTTGGAATATACAAAGAAAACTCTGTTTTCTTCACTCTTTTTTCAAAGTTTTTCACTCTGGAATATAAAAATTGAGGTCCCAGTCACCATAGAACCCTCCTCGATGAAGCAAGCCCACAGTCCTGACAGGTACCCCTGTGCCGTAGGATCCAGCTAGAACCGATGGTTCAATCATGGTCCTTGGGGTCTCATTTTGATCATTAGATGTGTGGTTACAAACGCAAGCACTTTCAGATTTTTTAATTAGTTATACACAATTTGCCAGCCACATATATACATTTATTCATTAATATATATGATAAAATGACAGATTATGCTACATCATAGCCTGAAAAAAGTGCTCATTTGTCCCAATACCTTTGAAAGTGCTTGCGTTTGTAGCCATTCTCATGTAGAACAATCCCTGAAAATTTCAGCTCATTTGCTCAAACGGTTTACATGGAAAGTTACGGCAACAAAGCAATTTTGAGATAAAACGTTCCTGCCCAAGAGTTGAAAAAAACCAAAATACATCAATATATGTCATAATGATACTCTCATGTCACTGAGGCTGCTTTAAACTTTTTGGACAATAAAAAACAGTAATTCAACTTGAAATTTCAACATATTAGACCCACAAGGACAATGTTCAATAATCCCAGACAGACACACAAAGCCAAATTATAAGTTTTACTAAAATGTTAGCATACGCTAATATGGGTTTTATGTGGAAACTGGTAACTAAGTTGATTATGTCCAAATCAACTTTTCACACTAATATACACAATCTCACATTAGAACTTGAACTCAGCCCTCTACCTATATTCACTCACATTCATAAAACAACAATCATTGGATCTATAGTTGGAAATAAAATCACTCAAAATTGATCAATTATCACTAATCTTGGTTATCACATGCAACATACAATAATATACATGATACAGTTATATACACATACATAAAGTACAGTGACATACATGTACACTGATGTATATATGTCAATTTACATATGTACTGCTGTATTTCTTGAATTTGAACTGCTAAAAATGTAACATTTTTATAACAAGCTATTGAAGCATCTTCATAGCTTTATTATAAATCACTATGTCAAGTTGCAAAGATATAACTTCACTGTACATGTACTTTTTTCACTTTCAAAAAAATGTAATTTTTAGCCATTGGAAAATCAAGATGCAGTCAGCAGACTGTTATTGACATTTGATCAGGGCTCGCGCACGAAACAGAGAGAGACATAAGATATGCCGAAACCCACGTGCAGCGAGTGGTGGCGTTACTGTACACCTATAGCCATGTAAACAAACAAATTTCTGCTAGATGAAGAATGAAATGAGTATCAATAGACGCCGCTACCGACTCATCAAAGTCTCGAGATTCATGAGAGAATGGAAACGATATATTTTTAAACAATCGTAAAAGTATCGGTACTGAATAGGCTGTACATCACGGTACAGTTAAAATTTTTAAATTCCGATCACAGCACTGGAAAGCTGAGGAAAAATCCTATGAAAAAAGTCAATAAAACAAAATTTTTTTTTTTTGAGATTTTAGGTACCTTTCCCCCCTTAATCATACTTACACATTCATCGTATCATTCGCAAACAGATATTCGGCTGGCTGCCCGCCTACTACAACGACACGGCCAATCTACCGGTGAACATGCCCAACGACCTCAAAAACCACATCGCCAATCAGAAGGTCCATCAACGCGACACCGTGTGGGTGTCGTGCGAGGGCGAGAATCCCGCCGACGTCGAGAACATCGGCCCGATCCAGTACATACCTCGTCGCGGCTTTCCCGGATTCTACTTCCCGTTCACAAACTCGCCCGGCTACCTCAGCCCGCTGGTGGCCGTCTTCTTCGAGAAGCCCAAATGTGAGTATCGTTAATAAAACTTTGACAAAAAAAAAAAAAAAAAAAAAANAAAAAAAAAAAAAAAAAAAAAAAAAAAAAATGACGAAAAAATGTATTTATTTTATTTCTCTCCGTGAACGAACGCGTAGACGGCGTACTGATCAACATCGAGTGCAAAGCCTGGGCGCACAACATCATACACGATCGAGTGGAGAGGCGCGGATCGGTGCACTTCGAGCTGATGGTCGACTAAGCTGCTCAAGCCGGCTGGCTCCTCCTCCTCCTCGAAGCTCGACGGGACGATATTAAAAAAAACGCCAGAGAGAATGAACAAAAAAAATTAAAATAAAAAACAATACAAAAAAAAAATAATTATAATTAAAAGCAAAAAAAAAAAAACAAGTTGACATCACATCTCTTACACGCGAGACATCATCATGATGAAAAAAAATAAAAAATAAGTAAAAACGAACTCGATAAACTCTTCCGTATAGCTCTATGATCGTGTGAACATTAAGCGCATTCATCGACGCGTATTATTATATATAATGTATACGTTATCGTTAACAATTATTATCATTACTAATTATAATTATTATTACTATTGAAACAATGTACTTATATCGAGGAAGGAAAGAAAAAAAATAATTAATATCAAATGTATGCATCAACAGCGGCGCGGCGTATAGCCATACACAGCAATACGACGACGATCCGTCCGTACGCACGCGTGAAAATTGTTAATTGCACTTCATCCCCCTTTTTTTATTATCATTCGTTGCGTTCGCTCTCGCGTCCATTATAAAATGTACATCCACCCGCTCGTCCGCGTATATGGATTTATAAAATCAATCGATCTTCCACGAGAGCATAGCGATCGAATCGAGTGGCGAGACAGGTGTGTAGTACACGCGAGGGTGTGGGTGTGTCTGTGTGTGTTCTTGTGTTTATGTTTGTGTGTGTATGTGTGTACAAGGAGGCCAGGAAAATTTTGGCAAGAGCCTCGCGAGCGACGGACGGGGGGATGACGTTATTATACTGCATTGCACAAAGCGCGAGAGCGAGCGCAATTTAAAATTAACGATGTGTGTGTGTAAGTGTGATATACGTGTGTGCGCGAGCGAGGGAGTTTATTTGTATCCAACGCCACCACCGCCACCACCACCACCCCCCGAAATAACAACCTACTTTTCTCTCTATCTTGCGATGCGCCGCGCACCGATTATTATGTATACATTGAATGTGTGTGTGTGTGTGTGTGTGTGTGTATGGATGGATGCGCGAGGATGGATCGTGCATAAGTATATAGTACCACCAACTTAACGACGCAGCTGTTGTGTGTAGATTTTTTTTTTCTTGTATTTTTTCTTTTCCTTCCTCCTCTTCGTCTTTGGAGCGCGAGACAACGGCCAACGATGACGAAGGTGCAGAAGAGTTGTGCGCGTTGCATTTATCTCAGTATTACGAAAAAAAAAATCACTGATTTAAGCCACTCGCGAATCCTGCCCCCTTTTCCTTCGAAGAGAAAAAAGAAAGAGCCTCGGTCGAGCTTTTTACGCGATGAATCCGTAATAGGTGTGAACAGCGATGATCATGATGTGTCTGTGTGCGCGATACGATACTTGGAATCAAATTTTAGGCGTCATGCAAAACTAAACGACAACAACAACAACAAAAAAAACCATACGACTAAAAGAACGTAAAAAATTAAAAAAAAGGAAGAAAAGAAAACAATGAAAAAAAAAATTTCCCCCTAATCGTAGACGTATAAAAAAAAAAAAAAAATAGTATGTATGCGTAAGATTGTGTACTTATAGCGTGTACTATCTTTGTAGGTGAACAAACAGAAACACCACTGCGTTGGTGGCGAAGAAAAAACAAAAATAACACAGAGGAAATAAAAAATTCGATTCAATGGCAGTATATGAATTATACCAAATTTTTTTTACAGCTTGATAAAGTCTCGTTTTTGTGCGACGATAAAAAATAATGAGATTAAGGTAAAAGAGAGAGAGGCTCGTTTCCTTCTCGGACGCGAGGAATGGGATGAAAACAAAAAAGTATCGAAAAAAAAAGAAGAAGAATTATTATAAATAAATTAAACCAAAGTGTTCTCAAAGACGTATATTCGATTGTCATGTTATACATTATGTGGCGCGATGATAATATTATAATATATAGTCTTCGAGAGAGTCAAAATGTTGTTACTTATTATAATTGATTGGGCCGATCGAGTGTCCCAATTATGAGATTATTTAAAACTCGATATTCGAATAAAAAAAAAATAATGACGATGAAAAAACAAATAATAAGAAAGAAAAGCAACTCATATGTTCATCGAGGCGTCGATCGTTGTTCATTCTGTTACTTTTTTTCGTTGCTTTTTTTTATTGTTTTTTTGTTTATAATATATAAATGTTCGATTAAAGTATTATTATTGTTATAATATATGTGAATCGAAAAAAAAACTGGTAACAATGACGTATTTTTCGCGTATTACTCGACTACCTCTTCCCTCCATCCTTTTTCATCCATGCGCTATGATATATGTAACTTAGGAAATTCATAACAAGAGAATAATGAATAAAAAATAAACGACGGATATAAAGAGCCACGAAATATTCTCAAATAATAGTCATCTTATTTAAAAAAAATCGTGTGTACTCGACGATAAAATACGATCGACTTTAAAAAACGTTTTTGCGCTTTGTAACGATATAAATAAAATATGATAATTAATAAAATAACATAGATCGTTCTTGGTACGTAAATACATTTTTTTTACATTCAAGTATAAAAAATATCGATATAAATAATTATCCGTTTTTTGACTATGATGGTACAAGGTTCATTCATTTTTCTGTGAAAGGGTGTTCACCGAATTTTTCTTAAAAATAGGAAGGGCTTCTTAACGTCGAGCCAAGCATATTTTTCTTATAATAAATAACGATAATAAGAAATATTGTTGATAAAAACGAAGTAATGACGAATAAAAAAGTGGCGCGCGTTTACTTATCGATTATTATCACGATACGAAATATAGTAAGAGTAATTAGGAAATAAAAAAAACAAAAAAGAATTAAAATTAAACGAATAAAAAAAGTGTTACGTGACTATTAGCGAACAGCGCCTTGGTATGTTTAGACTTCAGTTTTACTCGAGTAGTGGAAGTTTATACATTAAAATATGTTGATTTAATCGACGAGAGAAAAAAGAAGCGAGATGAAATTTTAATAAAAAAAAAAACACTTGCTGAACAGACACGACTAATCAGAAGAGAAAACAAACGATTTTTCGTGCGAATGTGTGTGAGAGAGAGAGAATCCCGTGAGAGAATGAGCGATCAAAGAAAGATAAAAAAATGAAGTTTTTTTCCAAAAAAAAAAAATAAGAAAAGAAAGGGAGATAAATGAATGATTAAAGCGAGAGAGGATGACAGATAAATAAAAAGCCTAGAAAGTGTGAAAACTCTACGATGTACATTTATAATAATTATTAATAAAAATGTAATGTGCTGCTTCGAAATACGAAAATAAAGATTAACAAAAAAATACACGCGCGTACGCACATGCGTTTCTCGATAAGTGTCACTGTACACACCCACACACACAACCACACAAATACACACTTTTGCAGCACGTGATGAGATGATGTGGACGAAAACCCAAAAATGGACGTAATTCACTTTTACACGCGTGTCATTTCGATTGTTATGATAAAAATGTGATCCCTCCCCACCAAGCACTCTAAGGGTTGATGAATGGATAATATGTGTAATAGTCGACGCAGAGATTGTCGTGGTAGGTTTATAATAAACGAGCTAACGGTCAGAAATAAAATTGAAATAAAGATAAAAACTGGCAAAAAAAAAATCTTTTAGAAAAAACGATTCATTCGTAGAAGCTTTGTGATGTGCGTGCGTCGGGCAATTCTTTATCTTCGTCCCTCCCTGAAGATTCGAAGACTTCGATGGATGTACGGACTCGAGCGTCACACATATACAACACATACATATAAACACACAAGCATCATCTTGATTGTAAAATTCATTGAAATAAATTGATTAGCAAAAAAAAATAAAAATACTATTGCAATATAATTTTTTTGGGTCTCCGTTCCTGGAGCTCGTGATGAAGAATAAACCTTTGATTCGATGATAATCTCTTATTATTACAACATGAATAGATTTAAAAAATTGAATAAAGCATTCCAAGTAAATTTCAAACACGAGAGTATTATTAATAAAAGAAAAAAAGAAAAAAATTATGTTACATTGAAAAGTCACCAAAGAAGAGACAGAAAATTTTTGAGATAAGGAAAATAGCACGAGAAAAATAAATTGAGCGCGACAGAAGAACGAACCATCAACTGATTCTGGGTATGGCATCCGTAAATAATTTCGGTTGTAGTGTCTATCAAAGGATAATCAATTTAACGCAAAAAAAGGGATGGAAATTAATTCGAGATTCCGGAAAAGAGCGAAAAAATGTCGTATACGATGAATTTTTCAACGCTCTCAAGTTCGGACTCTCAGTATGCTGAGCCAAAAGCTTCAATTTTTCACGCAAAAAAGAAAAAACCACACGCGAGGCAAGGTGCGTTCGAAGTAAAAATTCCCGTAATAGAGCCGTACCAAAAAAAGCGGCCATTTGCATTAATAAATAAAAAACGATTATACAGCGGAGAAATATGTAACGTTTGGAATTTTATTCACTTTAGTGCAGAAAAAATTATTCATACGTAGTATGTTAAAAAAAAAAAGTAGTAGAATGAATTCGAGACAAGTCCAATTTATTATATTATAATATATAAATGTAATAAAAAAAAACTACTACGACCACTGAACTAAAAACTATTACGTACTACTGGGCCGCGAATTGTTTTATAAAGAAGTGTAAGATGACTATTAAATTCGTTGTTAAATTTCAATATTACTATAATAATTACGTGAGAAGAAAAAATTTTAAATTGATAAGAGAGGCTTTTAAGCGACGATTAAAATGCATTAATTCGTTAAAACTAAGCCCCCAAAGTGGAAACAAAACGAACGAAAGAGTGTGCGAAAACGAGATTATGAATGAGAGAGAATTATAAACGTTCGAGTGGTTTCGGGCAAATTTTATATGCCTAAGAGTACCGTTTGATGTCAACCAGGGGTGGAAAAATAATAGAATGAAAAGGAGCTCGAAGCCACAAGGAGCAGAGAGTGCGCTTAAAAAAAGCGCGCGAGTATACTGTTTTACTTTTCCTTTTTTTTGTGTCAGCGACATAGTTTTGTGGTGTAAAGTAATGAACAAATGAAAACGAAAAAAAAA